TGAAACTGTTTTTCAAATACGTGGATTGTTTACATTCAGCTAATCGGTAACTTAAACATAATATTGACACTATGATCATAGGTCTGATGTAGAGGTAGAATCTGGAATAGATTTCCAATAAACATTATAAACAGATTGTAACAGTTCATTAGGAATGGACTAAGCATTTAATTATAGTCTTGTCTCTATAATATAAGTAGGGTTCTGCTTCAATCTCCACAAATCGTCCTAAGACCTCTGAACCTATTTGAGGTTCAAGCGTCGACTCTGTTAGACAGTCTCTCTCCAATATGTACGTCTCTTTGCTCTTACTACATCTACGAGATTACACATATTATTATACCTAAAATTTTTTTCTTACCATTTTAAGCCTTGAACTTTGACGAACATTTTTCAAGACCAAAATTATCCAAATCGGTTCAGCCGTTCTCGAGTATTAGTGAGACTAACGAACGGACACCTAAGTAGGTACTTATTCATATCTGTTTATATAGACTCTCTTTGTAATTAATTAGAGTATTTACAGTCGCTTTGGTATTGTACCGCTATTAGAATTCTGCTTACCATTTGTCAGTAAGACTAGCGTGATACTAAATCTGTATGATATCTCTTTATTGATTATGATTTATTTTATATATCCAGATACTATATGGAGTGTGGTTGGTAAGAATAGTATTATTTATTGGCTTCTGACATTATTTAAAAGGCCCATCAGCTCGCTTTTCAAAGTTTCTCAGTTCATTCAAACTTCTTGGTACAGCAAGGAGTCGGAATTTGTGCTAATGGCAACAGGCTTACGCCATGTTACATGGGAATAGCACTACTAGGAAAAGGTGTTTCTACTATACAATATGCACCTTTGTCCATTTAATACGTAATAGGATGGCGTTTGGCTATCATCTCGCCTGGTACTTTCTTCCGTCTACCCCTTTGAGAATCAAAAGGGTTATATTATAGGTTATAATGAGATATATCCCATTTGAGTAACAAAGACTGACTGACTGCCTCGTTGGCCGAGTGGTCGCTTGTGCGACTGCCGGGCAAGGGGTCTTGGGTTCGGTTCCCGGGTCGGGCAAAGCATTACTAGGTTTTAAAAAAATTCTCAGTAGTAGCACGGAGTCTGGAATTGTGCCCGGCATATGACAATAGACTCACCTCCTATTACATGGGGCTCATAACATAACTAGTGAAAAGTGGGTATTACATTGCATAATGTGCACCTTTGCCTACCCCTTCGGGTATAAAAGGCGTGATGTTATGTTATGTAACAAAGAAAATAATAAAAAAACACGACACTGTAATTTGTATAATTTAATTTAAAATCAATAGATTTTATACACATATATTAATCATTATTAAAAAAATAACAAATTACTTATATTATAGGTACTGTATTGATTAATAACTTCGATAGGAACATAAATAAATAAAAAATAATTATATGTACAATCTAGTAATAAATATTTTGTTCCCAGTTGCCATTGCGTGAGTTTTGACACTGTTTCAGGATGTCGTAATAAAACATCTAAAGTAAATATAGCATAAATAATACTATAACCAATTAATCATATTATAATATGCTAAACTATACTATGCTATGACTATACTGTAGCTATATCAACTATACTAGGTATAACTATACTCGTCATATAAATATAATTACTATATATACTCATCATTATGCCTCACAGAAAACTGACGTGAAACAAAGCTTGCGTTGTGTTTTGTCGTGTGAGTGAAGTTACCAGAGGTCCTAGACCTAGTCTCCCGAATCCCCGTATCCTCCACAATCCTCAATTTCCCAATTCCCAAAAGGCCAGCAATGCACTTGTAACGCCTTGATGTTTCGAGTGTCCATGGGCGCCGCCGATTGCTTACCATCGGGTGATCCCTTTGCTCGTTTACCGGCTTATGCTATACAAAAAAATACTAGACAATACAGACTGCCTCGTTGGGCGAGTGGTCGCAAGTGCGACTCGCCGGGCAAGGGGTCTCGGGTTCGATTCCCGGGTAGGGCAAAGTATTACTGGGTTTTTTTTTAATCTTAGTAGTAGCACGGAGTCTGGAATTGTGCCCGGTATATGGCAATAGGTTCACCCCCTATTACATGGGACTCATAACATTAACTATGCCAAATCGTTTTTGTAACAACTATCGTGAGACATACTAAATTAACTAGTTTCGACCTACAGAGGGGTTCTTCCTCATGAGCAGCGTTCGCGATCGCGGCTATGTCGTGCAGCCTAACTCTCTCTCTCTACATCTCCTCTGTGGTTCGAAACTTGTAGAGCTTTTCTCAATATAGTCACGTGAGTAACCCGCGACTTTTATTTAATTTATGCCAAATCGATTCAATCGTTCTTCAGTATTAGCGAGGCTTAAGAACGGAAATTCATTTTTATTTATGTATGTTTTTTTTTTATGTATGTAGATAGATAATTATTAATTATATACTCACACAATAAAAACAACAGTAGAACATATGAACATACATACAATTTTTTAAAGTAACTGAAAAGTTAAAAGGTTTCGAATATTTGGTTACTACCTTATGTCCAAATACTCGAATGTCACTAAATATTAAGTTGCGCTTAAGGATAGTTCTGTTTATCCACCAGACCACCACGGATGGGGCCCAATAGGGCTGATGCCGATACGGAGCCGCGGAGAACTTAACTGTTTACCGGGACTCCGGCTCGAAGTGCAGGAGTAGGAACGGGGTGGTTTTTAGTCAGTAAGAGTCATTCGTTGATTTTCCCTCCTTAAAAAAAAGTATAGTTCTGTTACTTCAAATTCTTTGTAAAATGACAGAGATGGAACGATATTAAAGTAAAACCTCAAATTGAATAGCCTTTTAGTATTCGAGCGTTAGTTAAATTATTTCATAGTTTCTCATGATTCACAAGATAACTGTAATAGGTATAATCAAATTCTCTTTTAGTCTTGATTGTAATTTTCGAAATACATCCTGGTATCGTTAATAGGGTAGATGGCTAATTTATATTTTTATGTCCTTCTGGTAGATTATTTAAAAACATTAGACACGTATTTTTTATTTTCTTCCAGAAACGAATACTTTCGACGATATATTGATTTGAAATGTCGCGTGACGTCACTTCTGTGTACATTTTACACGTAGAAATGACGCTTTAGCCCCCACTCCTTAACTTTGATTCGTTTTATCGAAGTATTGTTTTATTAAACGACAAAATATAAAAATACGTGTCTAATATTTTTTCATTAGGTACATAACTGACGGACTAAATAGATTTTTAATATTCATACCCTGTCATCATCCCTTTTAGCGATTTTATTTAATAATGCATATTAGGTATATCACATTTGTCACGATCACTAAATCATTAACGCATATAAAACATATCTTCAGGGTGCGATGTTTGAACCTGAGTGCGACCTAAGTCCTAATGATTGAACACAACCTGGAATCAAACTCAGTGACGGACAATAAACTCACTTACCGCAACAATTAACCTTACAATGTCTACCCCTACGGGTCTAACTGACACAATGTTACACAATTAATAACAGCTTTAGACGTTCACAAAATACTAAGCATTTAACACTTACACCGCCTAAGTACGGGTCTTAACGACCCTCGAGCTATTTCCGTCTATAATAATACACCGCACAATAAAACAGATAACAGGAAAAAGCTGACACGATAGCAAAGGAAGGGTTAGATCGCCTACGGTCTTAGAAAAAAAAACATATCGCATCTAAACGTCTTACAAACTCCCTTAATGAAAGGGAAGTTAAACCTTCAAACAAGTGAACAGAGTATAAATTACCTTGGGTTTCGTTCGCGGCTGGTGACCCGTTGAATGAGCCGGTCGTATATATCCGACTTCCGTAATACGGCCAGTGACAGTATAATTGTCTATAATGATATATTATCTTTATCTGTCCATCTTGTAGGCGCATAGCCGCGAATAAGATACACATCTGATATTTTACGACATTTACCTAATAACCGTCTGTCGTTTTAAAAACAGTTCGTAATACACACATGTTACAGTAACCACTTTATTATTAATCAACCGTAAATAATTTGTCTAAAAAGTATTAATTACTAAATTAAATTAATTAATATTTTAATCTATGCGCGGACAGGTGTAGGTATAAATAGGAGCTGAGTTGAAACGTGAGTATCTAAAGATAAAAATGCAAATAGCTGACTGGATAAAGATAAAAAATGGTTGACATTAGCCAGGCAAACCGGTTATCTACAAACAATCGTTAAGTAAAGTAGGAAATAGAGGAACGACAGATGTGCGTGATTTTTCTTTAGCAAAAAAACTGTATGCAAATGTCGCCTTCATTTGCATAATATAAAAGTGTTCACTTTCAATCGTAAAGCAAAAAGTTAACCCTTTATCGACCTTTTTTTATTATTACCTTTTCTGTTGTCGGTCTATGCATAATTAGAATAATATGTGCTTTGTGCTTCGTATGTCATTTTTTTGTCGCACAGATGTGTGAGGTTCAGGAAGTGGGAAAAAACGACCAGAGATCGAAAGTGGAGGGTTAAATTAATAATAAAAATAAAATAAAAAAGTCAACGTACTTCCGTAGCGCTAGTCGAGTTTTTGTTTAACTATTCTAATTCATTTAATCGCTTCAATGTAAAGGGTACTAACAATTTTATTATAGCTTTTATTCAGGTTTATTGTAGTTAAGTAAGTTTTCCGCTTTAGCAGGAAACGGAAACTTAATTAGCAGACTTACGACTATACAGAATTTTTATGATAGTTCAGAAATGAAAAACAAAAAAAAATTAAGCATAGAAAATTTATTTCGATATTAGAATATTTAATTCTGCCCATTGGTCCAAACATATAAATCTATTGTTTATTCTTTACTCATACGGGACAGTAAATGTAATTTATTGTTACTGTAAATATTAGTTGGGAGGAAGATTTGACGAATACATTCTCTACTCGACCCCAGCGCCCTCTGTGGCATCAGGTGCCTAGACAAAAGGCGCGATGCAGAGTCCCGTCCCGGTGCGCGCTAGGCAGTGAGCAGGTCGGGCGCGGCGCGCGCCAGCAGGTCGGCGGCGCCGGCCACGGCCACGCACCAGGCGTCGAGGCGGCCGGCCAGCGCCGCCGCGCCCGACCGGGGCAGCGCGCGCGGACGGACCCAGCCTATGTGCGCTGTACTGTTCACCTGATCAATATGTCCCCTGATGAGTTTCTCAGCGAGTGCCTTCATGACCAGCAGTTCCACTTCATCAATGGGCACCCTGGCCTCGCGGGCAATCTCAGCGAATGTCAACTTGCGCTGAGCTGACGTGCGGTTGAAAGCCATCTCCATCAAACACAAGATAGCGATCTTCTGCCTCAGTTGTCTATCAGTGCGCGCTAGATCAGGATGGTGGGCCGACGCGCGGACCTTCTCAAAGAGTGCGACGTCTCCGGAGGCCACCGCCTTCACCAGCTCGCAGGCTCACGCGTCCGGAGTGCCTTGCAGGGATTCCAGGATTGGGTGGGCTAGCAACTCCCCAAGATCATAAACGTTTGGTGCGATGACGGCGGCGAGCGCGAGCCTGAGCGCGGTGGCGCGGCGCTCGTCGGGCGCCAGGCCCGCGCCCCCGCCCGCGCAGCCCACGTAGCGCAGCGCTGACCGGTAGTACTTCGCCATCGGACCTCGGACTCTGTAATACTCAGAAGCGAGCTTGTAAAACCTGCCGTGCACTGGAGTGACACCGTCAGCATCCTCGAGGCTGCCCTCCAGCTGTTCAATGATCTTCTCCGTGGCATCCAGGTCATTCAGCTGTTCCAGGTATATCTGGCCTTGGAGGACCTTGCAGAGTGCTAGTGCTTCATCGTTAGCCTTGACTTTGCCTTCAATCTTCTCCAGGAAGGCGATGGCTTCCTTCTTATTGGTGTACTGCTTCACAACGTGAGCTATGATCTCCACCAGGGAGAGAGGGTTTATTTTATTTTCAAAATAACTAACAAAATTGGCGTATAAAGTGATCAGGTTGTCTCCAGTCTGCATGGTGGGCTTCTCCACCAGCTCTTGGATCTTCAGGGTAAGCTGGTGCCATAATTTTTTGTTGTAAAGTTCTTCTAATCTAAGCCATTCTGCAGACAACTCAGGGTGAGTTGTCTGTTTTCTTGCAATAAAATCGTTTAATTCAACGTTATAAAACTTCACGCCAGTCGCCATGTTTCAGATTTTCTGCAATAAATTAATGCATAAACTTTACGATCATGTAACAATATAAAAAAATAAAATCTTTCTGTAAGAAAAATCTTTCAGTCCAAAATATACATAGTACTTGTTGAAGAAAGCTTGCACAGACAATCCACGTGCCGCATTACTTGAACGCTCACTGCTCTATAAAAACATAAAACTTTAAATTAAAACAGTGCTTCAATTATGTAATAAAATTATTTGTAACATTAGGTTAGACTAATGACAGACTAGATTGCCTCTTTGATTAAGTGGTTAGTTACATGTAGGTACAATTGCTGATATGGTGGTTTTGGATTTAATTGCCGCATACTTAGAATAGTTGAGAGTTTTTCGATTGTATTTTTTTTATTTATACCACTGACTGAAGTCCAAAACATAACTAGTAAAACACGGGGTATTACATTGTCTTGTAAAAAGGTGATCTCTTTCTTTAGAGAAAAATATTCAGTAGAAATCAAGCATTTTTTTTAAAGTCGATAGTTGTCGGTCGATGTTTGACCACTCTCTTGTGTGTTAAGCGATGACGCATCTAACTGTGATCAAATTCAAAATTGAAATATAAAAAAAACATTCAACCACACGATAGGTAACAAAAACCAACCCACTAACTTTCTCGCAGACTTGCAAATTATAAATCGCAGTTAAAAATATAATAATCCTTAGTTGCTACAGGTGACCCAAAAATCTTACCAAGCGCAACTAACAAATGAAGATAATTCGAGCCACTAATAATAATAATTGAAATCTATCGAGAACTGCAGGCGGTGAAAGGGTTAAGCTTAACCCGTTGTTATAAAGGATGACTCAAAAATACCCTGGGAACCAATTTGTATATGTATTGTGATTATAATTTATTCAAATTTACCTACAAAAGAGGGGCATAATTCTATAATTTTTGTAACAACTTATTCTTTTTTTGTATAAAGTTGTTTCTTTTTAGTTTACAAACGGTAAAGGTGTGAAGTTTTGTGTTTAACGGCGTTATTTAATTTAATTGGTCGGTTTTTTGGGTGCATTTTTTAAACTTCGTCGTGGTAGAGTAACGGTTTGGTTTTGGTTGTATCGCCTGCAACCTGTAACAAAGAAAAAAGTGAGAATTAGTAAATGCTAATTTATAACTAAAATCGTCATTAATTAAGCTAATATTATTGACATTCAATTATCGACAAAATCTCATTAAGATATCCGTTTTAAGTAAGAAAATAACCCCAATTATTACCCTATCCAGCCAAAAAGGCGCGAAGTATTCTACGAGAACATTTAAAAGTGTAAAACTTTGTGTGAAGGTGTGTATGACAAACAAAACTGATATTCTCTTCAACTTATATTCTAAAATCTACACGATACTACACATTTTCACGAAAAATAAACAAAATATGGAAAAATATAAGAGAACAACTTTGTAACCCTATCACCTTTCCTAAAAATCAATGACACGTAAGATATAAACCAAACGAACCATTCTTTCGAACACACTTCCTTTACCTTATCACAAATTATGACAAAAACTTCAAAAAATTAACAAAATACCATCAAAACACACGTAATTTTAAACAAAACATACTTTTGATTAATAATTTGGAAGAAAAAGTAAGAAATGGTACCAACATGGCGTTACGCGGGTTTCTGAGTCCGCCATCTTTTCATATGCGCGAAACTGATGCGCAGTGAGCCGAAAACTAACAACCCCATTCGGACACTATTGTTGCCTCGTGAATTCACCCACGCGATATTTTCAATTCGACTCTTGTACACGCAAAATTCAACCATTACCTCTTTATAACAGAGTATATTTTTGCGTAAACTGCTGATTGGATATTTTTAGACATGTGAAATACGAAAGGACTTATCAACCGTAGTGTTATTTTGAAATAAGAAACCGTAAGGCTGGAAGATACAGTTTGATTTCGCTTGTAGGTATTATCAGAAGAAACCCATTCACTGTTTTTCCAGACTGAAGCTTAGTTGAAACGGAATAGAGTAGAATATCCAGTTCGATGCTAGTGATGTGAAAGTGTGCGTTTGTGTATCGACACGAGAAAACCTTGTTATATTCGTCCGTGTGTTAGTTTTTGATAAAGAAAGGGTAACGTCATATCGCGATGTTGAATTTTTACCTATGAATGTGACATTCGGTGGAATAAGCGTGCTTTGATGTGTGTGTGCGGTGTGTCGTGTAGGGGTGGGCAAACTTCGTTCCAGGAAAACGTTTTTGGAATATTTTTCGTACGGAAACATGGTGGATTGGGTTAAGGCATGCGAATTTTCGTAGGATTGCTGTGATGATGGGGTTTGCAAATAAAATGTATCGGTAACTTGTTTATTAACTTATTAGTAGGGATGATAAAAAATAATTGAGTAGCTATTTTTATAAATATCCTTACTAATATTATAAATCTGAAAGTGAGTTTGTTTGTGTGTTCCGCTTTCACGCCGTAACTACTGAACCGATTGCTTTGATTTTTTGCAGACGGAAAGTTAGACGTCCGGATTAAATAATAGCGTACTTTTTATCCCTGAAAAATTTGAGATTCCCGAGGGAAAACAAAAGTATTGATATAGATGGCGCTGTATGTATTGGTATATGTCACATAGGCTACTTTTTATCCTTTTGTGACGCGAGCGAAGCCGCGGGTAAAAGCTAGTTATGAAATAATTTCTATGTTTTTAAATTACAACAGAAAGTTTTTGAACGCAAATCTTCCGCTAACGCCACACACGCGGTGTTACAACTTTAGAGGATGTAATGGTGCCAATCAAAGTAAAAAACTCCGAAAATTAACGAATTCAGATTTAATACATTAATTAGATGTTACACGTATAATGGTGTTCTGGCAAGTGAAGGATGACATTAGAATTGTCTACTACGTGCCGAGCGCCTATGCAAATTTTATTAATTATGGTTTTTACAACTATTTGCTCTTTCAATTAGAACAGGCGTTTACGCCTGAACACGCGGCACATGGCGAATTAAAGTGTTAAATGGTATAAAGTGAACAACTTGTACTACCTACTAAAGTAACAACTGATGACTAGAATTTACCATCTAAAGTATGCAATAAAACATAAACAAATACATACCTAATAGTATTACCTCAAAACAGATAAAAAAAAACAATATATCCGAACTGTATCCACCTACGTTCCCATCACTATAAGCAATGCGACTGTGTGCCTTCGTATTTTAATATTATTCATTTTTCCATGTCAGCGAACGTTGGAATTCTATGAAATTCTCAGCGTGTAAACCAATATAAAACGAACATACACTGTCGAGTAGATGTTATTGTAATTATTATGTTATATTAACTTTTAACTATGATTTGCCCACGTAAATTAGCCTATGTCCTTTGTCATACTTCCAACTATGTATATGCATTTAAATATTAAGAAAATTGGTTGAATAAAATGCATGCATGAAAAGGCTGACGACTGTTGATGAAGCGATAGAGGTATGTAAGCTATTGGCGTTCCATAATCTGCCTGTCCTCAGAATCATAGCAATTGGCGTTCTCTGTCTTGAGAGACAGGCGTGAGGTTATGTTTGTATGTAGGTATGTATGGTTGAATAGATAAAGAGGAAAGAGGTAACACAGAAACGACCACTTACAATAATTAGTTGGGATTGAATTTGAGTGTGTTTTAAAACTGTGATTAGCCACTGGATTACCATCTATTAAACTTTAGGTGACCTGACTACAATCCGGGTGTGATCATATAAGGAGTATGATAGGATAAAAGGAGAACTTTTATTTAGCGGTAGACATTTTTCTTTATTCTGTGTGGGGTTTAGACATTGATGATTTACTTCCAGTTATCGATAGGATAATACTTTTCCACCCGAACGTGGAAGCTGAAACATTTCATGCTTTGCAGTCGAGCTTTTGACCATTCAATCAACAATTAGTACTCGATCTTATCGTGTCATTCACTTTAATTAAACATGTACATATCTATCATATTTTCTAGTAAAAAATGTTTCATTTTATCATTTTATATCAATTGCTGTTAAACTTGAGTGGCTTACGACTTATATTATTTTTCGTTGATAGGCTTCTTAGCAGTAAAAATGTAATATTAAGTTAACATTATTGTTTATTGGTATTATTTGAGTATTTGAACTCTAGTATCTTGATGTCGGTCTTCTATTTGTTTCATCTTAGACAAACCTAACAAACCACTGCTGGACTAAAAGACTTGTCAACATTTATGAGAGTTTGTCATCTTTATGCCTTGCAGGCAGGTTAAACTCTTGAATCATAGTTGAATAGGTTCAGGTTTATCAGACCTATAATAGCTGTGTAGTCTCTGTCAAAAGTGTTGTCTCCTAAATTATCTCTTACAATACTTATGAGAAGAATATTGACATGGGCGGTAAGAAGCGGTTGGGATTTACTAAGTACCTACGCAACATGGGTTGTTCTTGCTACACTGACATACCCTCTACTTTTCCACGATCCCACTTAAACGATAACCCTTGCAGATTCATTTCTCAAAACCCAAATAGCTCCAACGTTAACTCATGCGGTCTAGTTCCTTAATAAAACAGGGGTGCTCCACTCTAATAGTAACAATACATCAAACAAACCGATTGATGCATTAACTGAGTAAGTAAAACTCGGTAGTGAACGCTCAATAAATAAAAGGAAAGAAAGAAAGTCTGATGTTGTAAGGAAAAAACGTTATTGATGGTGAAATGTCAGAAACAAAACTGTGCACATTTGTAGTGGCCCTGAAATTGTACGCCCCAGCGCGGAGCGTTTCCGCGTGTGCTAGGGATGCGGTAGTGCGGGGAGCTGTGTCGATAAAAATTCGATAAGGCGTAAAATTGTATTTAGATTATGATCTTTATTCTGATCTTTTTTCGTTTCAAATTTAGTGGAATATTTTTATTAACCGTCTAACGCTATCCAAAGTTCACGTGGAAGGAAAATGCTAGTTCTACTTGTGCTTGAAGTGACACTATTTTTTTTATCCTACATCAAAAATGAAGGACGTTCTCATTTTTACCTGTATGTAAGCATGTAGTTGCGCAATGATCTCGCGATTATCAAAACCGATTTTAATGTGAATTCCAGAAAAGTTTCCAGACAAGGTTTTAGTATATTAATGGGCTGACTTCCAAAAAAGAGAAGGATGAAGTAAGTTATTTTATAATATTTAGTTTACAAAATAATTATTTGATAATAATATGGAATACTTCGGGGGCTCATTGTTCAGCTGTTAGCACCTTGTGTCTCACAACATGATTAACAATGATGATAAAGAAATAATTATGATCTATCGAATAAATGTTATATTCCACTAAATGCTGATAGTTCACAATCATCACCAATTACATTTACTCCGAAGAAACATCATGTTGAATTATTTATAGATACATATTTTAATGTAATCGATATCGCAAGCAAGAAAAAGAATACCACAAAAGATGACACCCCATCTCGGCCTAATCACCTAGAAAGATAGCATTAACGGTAGATACCGACTTTTAGATAAAAGATAAAGATGAAATAATAACATTGCCGGTGTACATCAATAAATTGGTAATTAAAAACATTAATCGATCATTGTTTGTATATACAATAACGTACACTTAGGAGCAAAGAATCGAAACCACTGGCGGTTTCTTCTTTTTTCTATTTCATTTCTTGATAAATTTTGTCTTATATAAGTATTTCATTGTTTAGTGACGTATATATTAAAACTCTCGTGAGACATACTTATGTTTTCGGCTTACTCACGTAACTATTTTACGAGGAACCCGACTAGTTTCAAGCCATGCTAGAGGCTCATATTCTTTGAGCAGCATTCCGCGACCTGCGACGCGGCGACTGTCGCATTTCTACTGTAGCATGGCTTGAAACTAGTTTAGTTCCTCGTCAAACAGTTACATGAGTAAACCGAAAACATAATAATTAATATTTAACGTATGGCGTATAAAAGGTAATTTAGTTTACCTTTAAAATCAGAACTTTTTGTTGTAAAAGGGTTTCAGTCTATAGGGTTCGATAAAATGAAAATTACGCTAGTGACTCCGTATATTTGCTACCAAGTGTAGCACAATTAGCAC